AAAAAAAAAAAAAGTCTGAAATAAGCTATTGGAGGAGAGGACAGCAAGAAGTATTTTAGCGTTAAGAAGTAAGGGATTTGGCCTAGCCAAGGAGATATGGGAGATGGGTACCACTGTGCAGAAAGGTAAAGGACTACAGATGATGTATTATGTCACTTTAACACAGCATGGGTTGCTTACAAGAGATTGGATAGTTTGCATATCCTCACAGATAATGGACAACAAAACCTGTGTTTCTTTCATTTTGGTCCAAGGCTGTATGTACTCAGCTGCACTAGGAAGTTTACTGAACTTAATAAGGCTACTTAAGAGTAAGAACATCTACCCTAAACCATTGTGTTAAGCACTGTTACTCATTAGCTGGGATTCTCACACAATTCTACAATGTATGTAGTATTATTCTCATTTTACCAATCAAGAAACTGAGGATCATGGAGATTAGAACTTGTCCTGAGGTCAAACAACCAGTAAGCACAGGAACAGGAATTGGAACTCTGACTCTAAATCCAATGCCTTTCATGGCAGTCATTTTACCAAACTATGCAGCTGTCTGCATAGGATTCCACTGTTTTTCACTCACCCATTTTCTTAGGAAGCAAGTATACATCCTGCTTGTATCGTCCCTCAGGTGCATTATAGAGTTCTATCAGTGCCAAAGCCTAAGGTGGGAAAAGAAGGCCAGAAAACATAAAAATAATTGTTAGACAGGTACATAAAAATAAAACCAGGTTTAATAGCATTTGGGTAAGTACTACAGTGATCTACCATAGTGACAGCACCTAAGACTTTGCCTATACTAAAGGGCAGCACACATCCTAAGAGGATTTGTTGTTTTTGTTTAGTTCCTGACAAAAGAACAACTCAAATAAAACTAAGCTGGAACATTATATTCTCAACTAAACAGCCAATTCAACAAATACTGACTAGTGACTCTTTTCTGTACTTGAGAATACCTAAGTCTCAACAATTTATTACATAAAAAAAGAATAGGATGATGAGAACATAGTACAGTACACCCTCACTGGAACTGATCTACGCCCAGTTCCACAAATTGCGGTGCAGTGTAAGCAGGCATTTTGCCACATACCTGTGTTGTGGCTGTGATGGACAGAACAAAGGTGGGAACTGTGGAGCAGCTCAAATTGAGTAGACGACCCTGGAAAGGTAAGAGAGAGCCCTGGGATGAGCTCTGTCTCAGATTCCAATGGCATACAAGTCAAGCCAAAGCGGAAGAAGACTTTACACCCCTCTAGACTCAGCTGGAAGAGGAAGAATTACAGTTCCAGATCAGGACTCTAGGCTTTTTCCTATTTTCTGCAAATCCATCTGAGTCTGAAAGGTTAAAGAATCAGCTGTGGTTAGGAAATAGTGTTACTTAGTAATGAGATTTTTTTTAAGTGGTTTTATTTTGGGGACCAGATAATTTGTGAAATATATCTCTCTCCAAAGATAAAATTCAGGGAAACACAGGCCCAATATTTGTTCCCCCCCGCCACCCCCACCATGGATCTAACTACTCTGCTTGTGCTGCTCTGCCAGAGTCCTTTTCTGTGTGTACCTCTGCCAGGAGGACAACTCGTTTGCCATCTGGCCAGATGACATGGTCCACCTGAGAACGTACTCGCTCCCACGTCAGCTCTGGAGTGCGGAGGCTGGTCTGAAAGGAAGAAAGCACAGTTGACTATCGTTATTAATGAAAGGTAGTAGAGAAATGCCTAGCAACAAATGAGAGGAGCCTTACCACATCGATTTCCGTATTGGAATGGCCCATATTGCATACGATACAACTGTTTTTCATGCGATCCAAGTGCTCCCGTGTCACTACATTCTTATTTCCTAAAAGTAAAGATGGGTGGCTAAGGAAAGAGATGCTGGGCAACAAAGGTACCGGCTGGCTTTCTGGTAGAACATAGGAGACAGGAGGCTTGCTGGCATTAAAGGACATGTACACATTCTGAGAGAAGACATGCATAACCACTCCTTAGGCTACCTGGTCTTCAAATCAAGCAGTATAAAAAGTCACCAGGGAAAAAAGTTTTTTACTCTGGAAAACATGTTAAGGTTCTGACAGCTTATTCTAGTTCTGAGATCTTTATACTGAACAGAGGTCTCACCTCCTTTGTATGAAAGTCACTAAGACTACTTTCAAGATTTAGCCTCTGAATAAACACCCCTCTATGCAAGTTATTTACCTGTGCAAGTTATTACGACATCAACTTGCCGGATGACTTCATTTAACTTTACCACCCTGAACCCATCCATGCTAGAAGAAAAGAAAGGAACATTATGAGTAAAGCAAGAAGGCAGTGGGAGGGAAGATGGTCATGAAATGAGACAAGATCCCCTTCTAAAGTTGGATCCAGTGCCACCTCACAGGAATGGTGAGTGATAAGCTGTGCTAAACTATATACACTGGCCTCTTCAGAGTCCCTAAGACTCCATCCAGGAAGGAAAACTGCCAAGAGGCTCTAAGAGAGCCCTAGGGTTAGAGTGAGAAGAACAGAGCAGTCCTAGCCTTCTCTTTCCCTAGGTGATTTCTGCAAAAATGATTAATATACTCAATTATGAACTCTCAGTAACATAAAGTACCTAGGGTGAATCTAATAGTATTATCAGTCTGTTCTTACCAAGCCTGCAGAGCACAGATGGGGTCGATTTCGGTAATGTAGACAATTGCTCCAAGAGCTTTGAGAGCAGCACAGCAGCCCTTGCCTACCTGCAGAAGAAAAGAACGGTCAAGTCATTAGGTTCATTACATCATGGATATTTCGGATAGGTAGGTTATTTGTGAGACAGGAATTAACCTTCATGAAACAGCCCGTCATCTGATGAGCAACTGCACAGATGCTCCAATCCCAAGCAGAACAGAAACAGATCCAGATTACGTTGTGAACCTCAGAGAGGTAATTTAGCAGACATGTCATAGGAAGGACTGGGCTTTGCACAGCAGTTTTCATTAGGGAAACAAGACTAAGCAAAAGCAACTTACTCTAAGCAACCTCTAATTTCTTATTCTCTTACTTGACAAGAATCTACTCAATGATAGCTTCGTAGCTCAGGAACTTCTGTGGGTCATTGCTGAAGACAACAAAATCTGTGACCTATTCCAGTTTGGAGATATTCAACTGTATGCCATTTCAGATTCCACCCTTAATTCTACTGCAAGTCACTTGTGGGGGCTAAAATGCTACACATTCATTTGAATAAAGTCTCATTAAAGGTTATTGTTATAATTGGGGAAAATGATACTGGTATCTATTCCACAAAACAAAATGGTAAAATCTGAAAACTCAATTCATTTTGTATGTTTCTGTTCATAAATCTGAATAAAAGACTTTTGCTATTGTTTGAGATACATTATCTAAAAAAATTTAAACCTTGTATCAGTGACTCTAGATTGACAGCATAAGCCTCCTTCACCAACTATTTCTAATAAGTACACAAAAAGAAAGAGACACTGAGACCCAGCTATTTACCTCACCATAGCCACACACCACCACTTGTTTCCCACCAAACATCACATCTGTGGTCCTCTTCAGGCTGTGGAAACAGACAAGGACTCAACTCAAATGTTAACAGCTCAAACTCAGTTCCTCTTCACAGTTAAAAGTGTGGGCCAATGCCCTTGAGAATATCAATTGGAAGCTGGCAGAGCTCAGTATGAAATGGTCCCTCTAATAAACTTTTAAAGCCAAAGGAAGACCAGGGGACAAGACCAGAGCCCCTAGAAATTTGAATATATATACATTCAACCTACCCATCCAAAATGGATTCTCGGCAGCAGTACAAGTTATCAAACTTCTGTTTGGTAACAGAATCATTGACGTTCATGGCCGGAACACAGAGCTTCCCAGCTTTGGAGAGCTGATATAGCCTAAAGGGAGAAGAGGTCACAAAAACAAACAAAAACCAAGTTAGCTGGCACAACATAATATGTGGCAAAATCTGCCTAATTCTCTTCAAGTTCCATGCTGCCCTTCCCAGTCTCATTTATTGCCCAAGGATATTAGAAAACATGATTATTTCCTTGTCATCCCTCCACACTTCTTTTCATTTTCTTCTCCCTTTACCCCTTTTCTGGAAGAAAAAAAAAGCCTTTCAATTGAAGAAATGTACTTCTCTTCCCTTTATAGGGCGTGTTATTTCCTTTGATCAGCAGTTTTCAATAGAAATCCATGCCTACTTCTGATAAACAAAGACTATCAATGATTCTGATATGGTTCCGTGTGTGTGTGTGTGTGTGTGTGTGTGAGAGAGAGAGAGTAAGCATGTGCAATGTGCCCCCAAGAAACACTCTTTCAGATATCTTTTCAGTATTCCGACAAGCCAAGAATATTTTGCCCAGTTTTACTTTTTGTAGTGTTAACATGTAGTTTTACAATAGGATTGTTTTTCATATTTCAAATATAAAATGATAATACAATATTGAATACAGTTTTTCAAGATACACTTATTCCCTACCCGCCCCTCAACACTAGTTGAGAATCACTCAGTGGAGTAAATGGGAGAGAAAAATGTATGAACTAGAACCTAAAATAACTTCCTTCTAGGATCAACTTGATTTTTCAAAAGTAAAAACTCAGAAGTTTTATCTAATGAAGATATTCCCATTTAGTTATAAGTCTGAAACACAGTCCTAAAGCCTAAGAGAGACCAGAAGAGTTTGCTGAGGCAAGGACACAAGGGGCAGCTACTCCAGAATCTGTTACCTGTGAACACCAGTCACGCTCTCTTCCACAATGCCTCGGATCTTCTTAAACACGTTTGGATACTTCTTATAAACCCAGTGGGTTAAGTCTCCCCCATCATCCAGGATCTATAGAACAGCCAGAAGACTTCTATGGGCATTCAGGCTGCTAGGGCTGGGGGGAACTTTGAACCCACTTTCTGTACTAGTAAGAGAGCCCTGTATGTTTTGGAAGAGCACTCCTCAGAGCTCCTTAGAGCAGGCTTAGATAGTGGAAATACAGTCAAATTTGTTGGTGTAAAATGGTTAAAAGGATTCCTAGGTTTGTTTTAGGCTACAGTGATGAGTATTAAGCTAATCACAGACTCATTTTTAGTCTAGAGTCTTGAAATATATAGGCCCTTTGAATATAAAAGGAGAACTGGGGCAGAAGGAAAGAAAGCAGAATCCTACTCCAAAGAAGCACCACTATTTCGTTCTGGTGTGTCTGAGCCATGTGTTCAGCTAGTCTTACCCTTCCCCCACCTTTCCATTCAGTACTCAGACCCATTCTGAATAGGTATCAAGCTAAACACTTTAGCAACAAAGTCAGTGCATAAGACCAAACATCCAAAACATATTTAGGGAACCATGCTTTGAGGGAAAAAAAGGAAATAAATCTATTGTCAAAGTGTAGGATGTATATGCATTATTACCATGTTGGCCTGCCACCCATCCATGTTCACACAGCGGTCAATACACCACCAGAAGTCATCTTCTGACTCGCCCTTCCAAGCGAACACTGCAACTCCTGTAGAGACAGAAATGAATCAGCTGCCCGCCTCCTTTGAGGAATGTCCTGTACCAAATCACTTTCTGAGATCCATGTGAAGAGAAAAAGGCAAAAGAAATAATTTCAGAAAGGAAAATATTTAGAGCCAAAAGTCAAAGAATCACTTTTGCTTCAGAAATTAATTATGTTAAGAAATTAAGGAATTTTTGTTTTAAAAGTATTTTGGAACCTTAAAGTGTTCCTTTCTTTGGGCTAATTTTATACTGAGAAGGAGATAAAGTGAAGTGGGAATTAATATAAAGCTGTTAACTGGAGCATTATTGATATTAGTAAACATCTTGAAACAATCTAAATATTCACCATTAGGAAAATAGTGAAGTAAAATCACATAGCCATATGAATGAGTATTACAAATGATGCTGTCAAACTTTTCAGTGACATGGAAAACTACGTCTGAAAATATTATATTTAGGTTATAAAACTGTATACATATTAGAATTTATTTCATCCATGTAAAGTAGAAAAAAGGAAAAGGAAAAAAATTCATCAAATACTCTATGTAGTGGGATTGTAGGTTTTTTGGGAACTTCCTAAATTTTTTGCAGTAAACACTTACCAGAAAAGAATAAACAAAAAACCCCAAAAGTATTATAAAGTTACTTTCTGAGGTTCTTAGAAAGATGAGAGGTCTGGCTGGGTGCAGTGTCTCACGCCTGTAATCCCAGCACTTTGGGAGGCCAAGGCAGGCAGATCAAACATCCAGGCTGGTCAGGAGTTCGAGACTAGCCTGGCCAACATGGTGAAACCCCATCTCTACTACAAATACAAAAATTAGCTGGGTGTGGTGGCGTGCATCTGCAATCCCAGCTACTCAGGAGGCTGAGGCACGATAATCACTTGAATCCAGGAGGCAGGGGTTGCAGTTAGCCAAGACTGCACCATTGCACTCCAGCCTGGGCAACAGAGTAAGGCTCCATCTTGAGAAAGAGAAAGAGAAAGAGAAAGAGAAAGAGAAGGGAAGAGAGAGATGAGAGGTCCTCAAAGAAACTTCATGGTGATTTTCTTCTGAACATTTGAATAATAAAAATTATTATTATTATTGTTATTAATTTTTGAGATGGAGTTTTACTCTGTCGCCCAGGCTGCAGTGCAGTGGCATGATCTCGGATCACTGCAGTCTCTGCCTCCCGGGTTCAAGTGATTCTCCTACCTCAGCCTCCGGAGTAGCTGAAATTACAGGCGCACACCACCACTCCCCGCTAACTTTTGTATTTTTAGTAGAGGTGGGGTTTTACCATGTTGGCCAGGCTGGTCTTGAACTCCTGGCCTCAAGTGATCTGCCCGCCTCGGCCTCCCAAAGTGCTGGGATTACAGGCATGGGCCACCAGGCCTGGCCTGAATAATAAAAAATTATTTTGTTTAATTAAACTCATGAATAGCTCATATATTTTCAATGCCATACTGAATACCAAAATTATTTAATGCACTATCAATATAAAAGGCACTTCCTACTTGTGCTCTCTCACAAAACTGATAGCATGTATATAGTTTAACATTCTTCCTCGTTCAACTAACACCAGAACTGTGCATGTCCCCATGCCATTAGATTATTTTCAAAGGTCATTTTTAATGACTACATAATATTCCATCATGGATATACATCTTAATTTTATTATCCACATTCTTCCTGTTGAGGTTTTCATCATCCCCAATTTTACAGCCTCTAGACATATATGACATTGTAATGACAATTTTGATACATAAAAGTTATATGTTTGGATAACTATTTTGGGGCAAATTTGGTAAAAAAAAAAAAAAAAAAAAAAAATACTGAAATTACCATGTTTAAGCCGTGGCGCAGCTACTTCATTCTGAGTTGAGTAGATGTTACAAGCAGACCAGCGGCACTGAGCCCCCAGAGCACAGAGTGTCTCAATCAACACCTGTGTAGAGGTATAGGAAGACAGGGTGAGGAAGAGAAGGGCCACCCAGGAATGGAGAGCAAGCCTCAGCAAGATAACAATACCTATCAACTCTGCACCAACAGGCGCTACACTGGGAAGTTAGAAAGGGGTGTACTCCAGCGAGGTGGTGCACTGGTGTTTAACTTTACATAAAATGTAGGTTTCTAAAAGTCTTAATAACATTTTATAACAATCATATGTTTGCAAATCTAGACATTCCTAGGTCAAGTTTGCTGAAAGTGGGTTTACACATACAAAAAAACCCCAGAAAACCCCACTATCGTGTAGCAGGGAGATCCTACTAATAGTTAGCATTTGGAGGTTGGTGAGTTAGGAAGGAAAAGTGAAACAAAAAAAAAATTGATTTCTTTCTTCCCCTTATCAGAAGCCCCTCTTTTCTTCCAACAAACTCACCGCTGTCTGGGCTGTGATGTGTGTACAGCCCACTATTTTAGCACCAGCCAAGGGCTTCTCCCCCTGAGCACGTTTCCTGAGTGAAATCAGAGCAGACATGTCTGTGAAAGAACAGAGGATTTGAGCTAGGTCTGCACTAGCAGTATCATCAGTTCCTGCCCCAGGGCTGGTCTGGATCTGTTGAGATACGGTGAGATGAGACAGAAAAACTTTAAGCCTATTTTCATGATGACTGGCAGCTTCAACAGCACAGTAATAGTGGACACCGGTCATGCAACCACTTGGAGTTTCTCTCTTCCTCTACTGCTTCAGCTTTATACACAGAGGACTGAACAGAGAATGAAGTAAATCCTTAAAACTGATCAAAATGAAGGGTAAATCTCATCATTCATTTGGGAAGAGAGGAAAGTAGTTAAGGCACTGGCTAACAGATCCCTATATATAAAATCATCAGACCAGAAAGACTGTACCCTCAGCTGAAATCACTAACTTCTGTTTTTCTATGCTGTCTTACCGTATCCTGTCAGTCTGTTTGGTTTCTCTATTCTCTTTCAGTAAAGAACATGCCTTCAATGTGTAAACAACACAAGAGTAAAGAGGACCTTACTGGGAGTGGTTGGGGTAGGGAAACCAAGATTCAACTGTTTGTCAGTCACTTTTACTCTGCTCCAGCAGAGGGTACTCAGGACCAAACAAGACGCTAGGTCACCACATCCTTAGCTTAAAACCCTTCCTCATCAGCTGTTTCTGGGCAATCTGGGTCTCTGGCATTGGCAGCTATAGTAAGATCCCATATAACCAACTACCAAGTAGTGATCTAGGACTTGCCAATTCTGCCATGTAGATCTTTGAATACGGTGGTGGGGTGGGGTGGGGAGGAAAACAGAAACTACTCTGTGTGTCATCACCACATGCTGAGAACAGAAGGAAGAGAGAACAAGAATCCTGATACTCAAGTTCCATAGAGAGAGAAGTGTTTATCCGGAAGTCCATAATACTTTCTTCCCAGTATACTTTCAAGTCAGCTTTCAAGTCTTAAGTTGTTTGTGGATTCTGATGGCCAACAAGAGGGTCGTTTCTCGTCCCCTAAACCACTCCCTTTCTTTACCTTGCTCTGCAATCTCAATCTCCCGGCGTCCAAATTCTGCCTGCTTGATGTTCTTCACACAGAAATTGCTGCTGCCCTTGGAGTTGGTTTGCTGCTTCTCTCGGGGAGAAACCTCGTCATCAGAGCTATCTGTGTAGGATGCAGCTAGAGACAGGAAAGAAAAAAACAAGGACAGAAAAACCTCAGTGGCCCCAACTCTACAGAGTGCAGTCCCCAAGGGACTTTCATTTAAGTCAAGGGAACACTCTTAATTGGAGTTACCTTTTATAACCCTCTCACTTCTGCTCCTCTAGGTTCTAATTGGTGGTATGAATGAAAATGTTGTGGATGCTTCCGTGTTGCAGCTCTTTCACCCACCCTAACAATATTATGCCATTAGTGCCTGTGATAAGGGACTACTGATTCTGGGATTACTATAGCTGTACCAGCTATAGTAATCCCAGATAATAGAGGTACCTGGTCCCATCTGGATTGGAACCAGACCTGGCAAAAACAGAAGAACAATTTAGGGCAGATAAGGAACGGTATTTCTGTAGATTACTGGTTCTCAAATTCAAGCATCTGTCAGGATCACATGGAAGGTTTGTTAAAACATATATTGCTAGACCCCATGGCCAGTTTCCCATTTGGCAGGTATGGGGTGGCACCTAAGAATAGTATTTCTAACAAGTTACCAGGTGTTGCTGATGCTGCTAGTCAGAGGACCATGCTTTGAGAACCATGGATACAGACAAAAGTGATTAGATAGTCTTACAAGGGATTTTACACTAAGTTGTGCTCAAGGAATAGAGAAAGAAATAAATGGCACAAAAGGCAAGCAGCTCTGGTTCTATTGATAGCCCTGGGAAAGTCTATCAAAATGACCAACTTAAAAAGCGGTTTCACATAAAAGCCAAAAATACCACTTACCCGACAGATATGCATGAGGATATACAACAATCATTCCTTACCTCTCAAATCACTTTTTTCCTCTCTGAATTATTTTCCTCATCACAGTTTCTAGTATATCTGGACTCTCTCATGGACTGACTTCTATGTACAGGTCCTCCTCCGGTCCAGCTAACACAAATACTACTAAAGCTTATCTTCCCCACGATGACAATTTAACCATATCACTAAGCTTTTTAAAAGGCTCTAATACATTTCTGTAACATGGCCATCAAGATCTTTGAAGACTTTTTAAAAGCCTTCTTCAGTCGTTTTATCGTTCTTCCTCTCTTCCTCTCATAACTCAATTTTTCACAATTAATTTTTCTTCTTTCTTGGCTACAATTAGCCTGCTTGTCACACACCACTTTTTATCTGTCACTCCAAGATCACATATAATGGCTTTTCATTTATGTTAATCCTTAATGTTAGTAATACAATGTAAAAGGTATTCTGGCAAAGGACAATGAATGGTTTTTGGTACAAATATCTGCTGATATTAATAGCAATCTGTAACCTCTTAATCTTTTAACAATGAGTCTTCACTTAAACAACAACAAAGTTGTACTGGATGCCCCATTAGATGTCCCTAATGTTTTCTCCTATATTCAGCTGCCAAGATTCTATATTCTTTTCCATGCTAATTTTCTAATACATACTCTGTAGTTGGGAAGGACACAATACGAAACAGAAAAAGACTTTATTTATAGAGAGTTAAGACAGGAGGAGAGAACTACAAAGAAACAGAGCTGGAGTCACATTATAGTAGTCTGAATCTTTCCTACTCCAGAGGCTAACAGGGAGGATATTTCAACAGAAGGAATAACCCAATAAATAAAAGAAGCCTAGATATTAATTTTCTTGTTACAATCTAAGCAGTCTTGGGGACAAGAAAGAAAGAGATAGGTGGCAGGATATATTTCATACAAAGAAATCGTGCTTCAAAATGCACTTCTTTTTTAAGGCCAATTCTGTCAGCCAAAATAGCATTGATTTCTTCGCTTTGAAATGCGGGTGGATCAATGTGGGAATGGGAACCAGCCCAGTCCTACCAACTGGCCACTGGCCACAGACCACACACATAGACAGCCAGGGGGAAGAAAGTCTCGAGTCAACAGAAGCTTCCCCAGCTACTAGCCTGACTGCAGAACATTCCCAGTGCCCAGTCACTAACTAACAGTTTTCAGCACAAAGGTGGGCAGTCATAACATGAGGTATTTTCAGATTGCTAAGTGAACAACACTGGTAGCAAACAGGGAAGAGAGATTAGAGAGGACATAGAGTTCATTCACACCTACCTGAACTGTAGCTGTCAGTGGAGGACTGTGAAATCGAGCGAGACAAAGATCTTCGGCCAGTTTTGGTGGGGAATTTGGTGAACTCCTGCATGTCATCAGCAAACTGGATTTGCTATATAAAAGGAAAACAAACAGTTGAAACTTGTACGGAAAATCAGTGAAATGTTTTCTTTTTGTAAGGTTATACATTGCCTTTCCTAAAAGCCAGTGTTGTCACATGGCTCCTACTAAGCCAGCAACTTTCCCACCAGAAATGGGGGAAGGCCGAGGCTCCCAAAACGTCAATTACTGTCTCCTCCCAATTGTTTCTGCAGGATTTGGGAGGAGGGGCTAAGGTTAAGACCCAACTACTTTTAGTATTTGTCCAATTTTACAAATCTTTCTCACATTCCATCAAGTTTTTTTTCCCTCTTATAACCCTGACAGATTAAACTCTTTACCCTTCTTCCCAAATCTTTCAGAAAACAGAATCTCATAGTGCTACTGGGGTTTTTTGGTTTTTGTTTTCAGAATATTCTCTTGTAGCACATTCCTAAAGTTGGCGATGGTCTTGCTTTCTGAAAGAATTATAAAGAGATGCCTAGAAATGGTGATGGGCATTAGGGTGCCAATACTCAGAGCCCAACCATATGTCTATACTTCACAAAGCCAATGTAGTATCTCCAGAACCTTCTATCCTAGTAAAAATTTAAAATACCAGAATATAATTATAAAGATAAATTGAAAAACCCACACACACTATAGCAAAATCTAACTCATTAGGACTAATTTGAAGGAAGGAGAAAATAATGACTTGGTAAACTTTGCATTAAAAACTTCCTTAAATGGGCCAGGCGCGGTGGCTCACGCCTGTAATCCCAGCACTTTGGGAGGTCAAGGCGGGTAGATCACGAGGTCAGGAGATGGAGACCAGCCTGGCCAAGATGGTGAAACCCCTTCTCTACTAAAAATACAAAAATTAGCTGGGATTGGTGGCAGGCACCTGTAATCCCAGCTACTTGGGAGGCTGAGGCAGGGAACTGCTTGAACCCGGGAGGCGGTGGTTGCAGTAGGCTGAGATCGTGCCACTGCACTCCAGCCTGGGTGACAGAGCAAGACTCCATCTCAAACAACAACGACAACAACAACAAAAACAAACAAACAAACTTCCTTAAATGAAGTCAGAACTAGATAATTCTTTGAAGAATACTTGGAAAACTGGATCTAATCAATAGCAAATAGCTTGCAATTGATATTATTTATAGATTTATAAAGTGTGTAACACTTTTATTACATGGTTTAAACCTTCCTCCTGAACTCCTGTTTCAACTCTGATAAACCCTTTCTTCAAAATAAAATAAACTTCACCATCCTGAAATAAGCAGGATGGTTTGAGAATGTGAACTGAGATTCTGTCCACAATCCAACTAAATCTGAAAAGGTTCCCATAGAGAATCCATTAAGCTAAGTCTTTGGCAAATACTCTGAAAGTGTAAATGACTACAGATTAAAATCTTCTCTGTATAATACTGGCAACATGGGTATAGCCACTTTAAATTAAAGCCAGGAATAGTAAACTACTCGTTAGTTACAGCTACAAAAGCTTCACCTCCTCTTTCACAAGTACCCTTCAGCTAGAGGAGCACCAGATTGCAGTGTAGGAATCAGGTTTAAGTGGGCAGCCTAGGCATAAGCAGCTAATATAAACAAATTGGAAACGGAATTAGCAGGACTCTGCAGGTAATAACGCAGTAATTAAGGGAACACAGGTTTGTGTTTGCAACTTTCTATCTAGCATGGTTCACAGCAAGAATGAAAGCAGAGACCAGCCATGTAGTAACAGCCATGGATACTATCAGTAGTAGGCCTAAGATAAAACCCTGAGGGTACTTCTATTTAAAACTTATCCTAGTTCAGTATCCAGCTGGGCAAATTTTTTTCTTTAGCCTACTCTGTGAAATAAGGAGGTGACAGAGGACAGATCCTGTTTAATTAAATCTAAGGACAGATCCTAAAGGCATGAAAGGGAATGAGCTACCTATGCTGGCACTTAGCCCAGGGTCTTAAACATATGGGAAGGCATTCAATGAATATCTGTAGAAGGAGTGATCCTTTCAAAATCCTTTCTTATGTTTCCACACAATTAGGATTCAAAAAACGAAAGGAAGAAAAAAATACTTTCTTGTGTAAAATAAATCAATCAAGTTTCAAAGATAAATAAAAAAGTAAATAAAGTAAATATGTGGTTTGACTCAAGTCAAACCACATATACTGCACCGGAGCTAAACAAATATCTTTATACATCCAAAGCTGCTTTTTTAGTTTAGGTGCTAAAATTTTAACGATAAATAGCTTAAACATCAAAAGCACAACTATCTTTCAAAAAAAAAAAAAAAAAAAATACTCATTGAGGTGGCCACAGGTCAGCATTTGCCCTTCTAGATAGGATTCCTCACTGCATGTTCACATGATTTCTGCTGTCAGCAAAGCTAGTTTCACTGAAGAAATTAATCCAGGACCAAGGTAATGACTTCCAATTCAATATGCTGTTATTTTGGTGATGGCAAAAAATACAGTCACGAGACCATCAAACCCTCTTAACACTCTCCAGAGGCAGCCCTTCCTCCACCAGCCTCCCTGCTGCCGGCATAATGCAGACTATTCTATTCGGAAGCTGCTCTCCCCTCTGCTGATTCCTTCCTCTGTTTGCCTTTTTTCAAAGGGTTCTGGGCATGTTCCCAGATGCCAGGTACATGAAGGGTGACGGTGGGGGAGGGAACTGCAATAACGCTTGCAGTTTTTTAGATAGAGAGGTGGCTGTGGCAAGAGAGAAATGTTTTTCTTCAGCAACTTAAAAACTGAATAATCATAATTTCCCTTTATATTAATACAGCTCACCAGTAGCCTACAGCTAAGCAAAATCTTTCCCATCTAAAAATACTGGACTGTATTGCAAGCAGCTTAGCAGCTTACTAACCAGTGCAGTGCCCCTACCTCCCCATCTCTCAAATAATGAATATGGTCATATTTGAAGTGGGTAGAATGTTAACTCAAGCCATGGCAAGGATGAATGGGTTGCGTATTCTTGCAGCTGTCTGACATTCTCACCACTTATAAGGCGTCCCAGCAAGGTCTTCTCTTCCACCCCAAATTACATGCTGAAGAGAATCTGTGTTACAATTGATGCTGTGGAATACATTTGCTCTGCCAGTTTCCTCCAGACCTGTTAGCTCCACTGGTTATCTTCACAGCTAGTAGCTCTGTTTTCTCTTGGTGAACTACCTCCTGGAGCATTGTTCACCCTCACACTGTAAATATAAACACTGCTGCCAAAAGCAACTTTTGGATATCACAAGTTTTCTCTCCAGATCTCAACAACAGCCTTCTGATTGGGTTGGACTCACTGCATTTAAGGCAAATATGATAATCTGCGTAAGACGAAAAGACTACAAAGTTGTTCTGTTTCTATTAATTCCTATCATCATAATTTCTTCCAAACATTAAATCTTAATTGCTGTGCTTTCATCTTTCTTCAAATCTACCATCTACAAGGAATACTACACCTAAAAAAAAAGTAGGATTGGGAAGAGAAGGAATGGAAAGGAAATACAGTGGTTGAAACGCAGAAAGTATCTTTAAGTAAAAAGTCTTATGTTAAAGAACGATGTTATGCTTGAGTACTCACCACCTCATAAACAGCCTTACCCACAACTGAACAAGCACACCAGTGTTCCATTCTTACACTAAGAGCATATTTATGAAAGGCTAGAAGGTCAGATTGACCCATTCTTCAAATAGCACACCCAAATACAGAAGTCTACTTGCTGCGTCTTAAAAACCCAATTAAATATCAGGCCAGTTTAACATGCTATTTAAAGCACCTCTTCAAATAGCTTAGCAGGTACAATGGTTGACTTTCTTCCATTTGATACTGAGAATGGTAAAGAAAAGCTCTACCAAACGAATAATTTGGGGTATACCCACTACCTAGTGGGAAGTCTGCTGACAAAGTGAGCTGAAAGAATTGTGCAGACCTTACCAAGAAAAGGGTAGCAGACACAATCCAAAAAAGTTACACACCTCAAGAGAAGAAAAATTGTATGCTATTCATTTAGTTGATCCTAACTGATATATATTTTTTACCATTAGAAGCTGAGTTTACTTTCACAAACACACATCCTATATTCTTAGAAGTTAAAGAGCCCAGCTACACTCCTTCCCAGGGCCCACCCAGTTTTGCCTGCTATCTCCTGAATGAGAAAGAATTAACAGCTACCAGAATTCCACTACAACATTAAAATGTTCTTTAACATTTTAGCCTAGAAATGGTGATCAGGATAATACCTGTGGTGCATTATATTCTTTAATCATCACATTTGCTAGGCACCAACTAAGTATCCAGTGCTACTCCAGGAAAGTTCTATGTAAGGAAACATGGTCCCTTAAAATCTGTAGACATGTTTTGACCCACAGTATAGTAACATAAGTGGCTTTGGCATGGAATTTCACTGCTCCATGAGGAAACATGCCAGATATTATAGTCTTCATAGCCTTATCTGGATATTGTTTAACCTAGGTTTAACTTAGACATCTTGTCAAATTTGTTATTTTAAATGCCAATCTAATAGCTTTTAATTTCCTCAGAAAGGTTTCTTCCTAAGGGTAAAGAACTAGATTCAAAGATAAACAGCAATTACTAGGAAAACAAATCATTAAGAAAGTGTAACGTAGAAGTAAGCAAAGCAGTCTTTCTTACTGCAGAGAATTATTTGAAGGGCTAGTATCCCTCTTTTGGTACACTACTGATTCTCTGGGACATTCCTAAATTTATATATTCTGTCCCATTGTCTCTCCTAGCATATTGTGTGTAGAGATTTTTCTGTTTAGAAATTATGGTCAGCATATTTCTTAGCAACTGAGCAAAAAAAAAAAGTAACAATAAAAAACTAGAAATTTTAACAAGTTCATCATTACTAAGCATAGTGTGTTAGAACACTTTTCAAGATTCCTACATCTTTTCTAATCCCTCTTTCACACATATTTTCTGGTTAAATTATTCTTTCTTCTACAGATTCTACCCTCACCCACTCCTTTTTCAGAGGAAAGGAAGAGGATATGGCAGACAGCCAAAAC